CAGGCCGGGCAGCCTGGTTACAGCTGCGGGTGTGAGCTGGACAGAGTGCCTGGTTCCTCACAGAGGACACTTTGAGGCCAGGAAGAGGCCTTTCCTGGATGACCTGCTGTGCATGGAGAGACACCACTCCCTGGTTAAAGCAAAGAGGACTTCAGCTCTGCTGGCTCTTCCTGCTGCCCTCACACGATAGTGCCCCCAGGTCAGAAATGCTGCATTTGTGTCCTTGAGATTTTTGAAAAGAGCATCCTCCCAGGGATCATATGCAGTATAATTCAGTTTTAAAGAGTTCTTTATCAAAAATCTTAAGGACTCCCTTCTGAAAGAGCCTACCCACAACACCAGTGCTAGCAAAAATTAGATACTTTAAGACACTGAGTTCCTGACTGCCAAAGACAAAAGATGTCCAAATCATGGTGGACTGAGCCTCTTGCTCCTGTTGTCCATGTTTTGGTATTGTGTAAACATACCTGCTAGTGACCTGAAGCACCATGACCTGACAGAGTCACTTTCCTCACCACCCTGGTTGCCCTGCTGTGTAGTGTCTTGTATGGCACATCACCATGATATGACCCTGCTGTGATGCCTCCAGCTTTGTTCTTTTTGTTTAGATTCCCTTGACTTTTGGGAGAGAAGTGATAGAGAACAATACAGTCCTAATAGGGAGAAGAGAAACGAAAACATTGAGGTGTACAACGCCCCTTCATAGCAGGAGCTCCAGCTGAGCTGCCCTTGGACTCCGTGGTCAGCTAAGGGGACAGCAGTGGCCTCTTCCTATAAAATGACTGAGGGAAGATGGAAGACAGTGGAATGAAGCAAGAATGAGAATTTAAATACTGGTTTCACTTTGGTTAGAGCTGAGATGAAGAGAGTCAGGACTGTCAAGAACAAGAAGAATTTCACAGACGTTCACCCGTTTGTAAAGGTGCACAGGTGTACTAAGCTCCATGAAAGATAGGGCAGCTCGTGTGTGAATTCACGTCTAATTCATGCATCCAGAGGTAATTGCAGTTTTATGTGCATGCAACCATCTATGTTTGTCTAGCATTATTGAAATGGTTTCTTGTGTGAGTTGATTTCTCAAGTAATTGAGCTTACTTCTTAGTGCATAAGATATTTAAAATTTTCTTCGTAATTGTTATTGATTGACAGCACTTTGCTGTGTTTAATAATGGATCCTTTTCTTGGTAATCCAATGCACTGTTATGAAGCAGAATCTGTTGGCACGTAGAACATTGATTTACCTTGAGTGAATAGCTTTGGGTATGTGTGCATATTTGTATTGAACACGTTTTATGTATTCTTTTTATACACTGGCATCATGAATTCTGATCTTAGATTAACTGTCTCTCAGTGAAGTAGGCACCTATCAATTTGTCAGCAATTTTCCATGAAACTCAGAAGACTTTTGCTGGTGTCAGGATCCAAGTGTTTGGTGGTTGAGACCCTAGGATTTTGACCATCAAGCAACATAAACATATATAGTACTGAAATATGAACTGTAAGTGGGAAGTACTTGAGTTTTTGACTCCAATACTACTGTTTACAACATTTTTTATTTTTAACTTGGAAGCTCGTGGTCTTGAGTGAGTCAGACCTCCTTTAAGCATTTGTGGTGTCTTTATCTTTGCCTACATACAGCTCCCTGTGTTTTCTTAGGGATTGTGCTAAAGAAAGGGAAAAGTACATGAACAGGTCCCGGACATTATTTGCTATCTTCCTCAGCCCTGGGCTGACAAAACAGTGCTCGTGCTTACTGGGTGTAATTTAAGTAACTGAAGGAAACGAGCAGCCCATTTCACAAAATTACTATTATTTATGTAAAGGATTTTTTGTTTTCATCTTACTTCTCTGTAGCTCTCGAATGCCATAAAATGTCTAGTTGGGGCATTATCGTGCCACTTTGCAAGGTAATCTTCTGTTTCTGCGTAGTGTTGCAGGTAGCCGCTTACTGAAGACTGCCTTAGGACTACAGTGGTGATGGAAGGAGGCATAATTAGAGGGAAAGAAGTAAACAGATGAATTCTTTTTAAAAGAAGGGCAGTGACTTGTTGACTTAGCCCCGAGACTGTGGAGATGCAGTCACACTTCAGGGTAAATGAAGTGGAGCTCAGGGAAGAGAAATGCACGCCCAGTCCCTGAATTTGTGGTTGAGATAGAAAGGCTACGGCTGTGAGCATTACACACATTCAGAGTATTGGCTAAGCTATATATCAGTGAGCTATAGAGAACTTTTAGAAGAAATGGTGGTTTCTCATTGGTAAGAAATATAGGATAATTATTTGTCAGAGTTTAGAATCATTCCTTTATTTGATGGCACTGTTTTGGGCATGCGTGTATAAAGTTTGAATTTACAGACAACCTAAATTTCAAAGTATTAGTGGCACATTATGGAAGACGCATACACATGCGCTGAAATTGCATATGAAGACACTGCTGTTTAAACTTTTTTGCTGCCAGAGTTGACAGCAAAAGGTAAAGAGTGTCCACACAGGTCTTGTTCTCCTTGTGCCTCTGAAGAGTGCTTTTCACTGAGGATGAAGTGTTTGCAGTCGGTCACTGAGCTGTTTCTCCCAGATTGCTTACCCTAAAGCTGTGCCCATTCACCCCTGCATCTGAACCGATTGCCAGATGGCACAGTTATTTTGATGTGTTTCCCAATCCTCCCTTCCAGGAAGAGCCGTGTGTGCGCTACCTCTTCCTGTGTTTGTGGATGATTCAGAGCATGCAGAGCACTTTGTGTCTACCTGGCCCTTGCCTGGTTTCCAGCTTCTCCAAGTGCAGTCCCTCCCCCGTGCCACGTGTTTCTCACTGCCCTTTGGATAGCTACCTGTGATCATTGAAGGAGAGTCAGGAGGAAATATTTGCTTGGCGTGGCTAGTTTCACTGATTAAGTCTTTAAAAGAAACTCTGAAACCTTGAAGTCACGCTGATAAGTCAGTACCATAAATTATTTCTTTTATAAACTCACATAGGACTTGAACTATTTTTGCTCATACCACTTCAGATGAAGTGTGTGGGTTTTCACAGCAGTAACCCATTTTCCAACCATACAGATACCAACTGGGTACCCCACAATCTGATTCAGTTCCAGTGCTGAGCACTCAGCATTAGCATCACCCTCTACAGGTGTAAGGGCTCAGTCCCTAGAGGCCCTGAGCACAGTTGATGGTTGGAAACTGGAGACCCACACTCCCATCACAGTGTCTACAGAGTCTCAAGTAAAACCAGTGCCTCCCTTTGGGCTTGGCCATTGCTAGAATGGTTTGCAAAACCACAAGAAACAGTTTGCTTACTGTTTCTGGCTTAATAAGGATGGAACTGGACTGACCGAGGAGAAAAGAAGCATAGGGCAAGGTGTGGAGAAGGGGTAGAGCTCTTTTGCAGACAGAAAGGAATTCAGCAGTAAAACCATGCCCATGTCCAAGTCTTCTTGGGGTACACTGAATTCTGTGTGATGTCCAGGCTGACCAGGGGACTCGCTGCCTTGTTTGTCCTCTTCCGCCTCTGCTGGTTTCTTGAGGTTTGAAGTGCCTCCTTCTCTTGCCTTTCAATGATTTCTTCACAGAAGCTTTAAGACAAAAATTCCAGCTGAACAGTAGGAGCCCCTTTCCATAATTGATATTATAGAAATAAATATGAGAGGAGCACCTTCAATAGATGTTACTGGGACTCCTGTGGAAATTCTCTCATTATGTGTTCAGCATTGCAAAAAAGAAAAGCTGACCCGCAGGGCTGTCTCTTTTTCCTGGTTCTTCTTGTGGATACGTGTTAAAAGCCAGGACCAGCACTGTGGCCAGAAAAGTCATTTGCAGACATTAGGAAAAGATCAGCAAGGGTGTGTGTATGCCAGCATTTTATATATATATATATAACATGTATGTTTAATTTATAAATTGAACAGTAAAAGTTAACAATAAAATAATTAAAGCAAGATACCGTAATGAAAATTGTGAGCATCAGTTATCTTGCATTTTGGAGTCATTATTTATTAAAATAAGGGTGACTTGAATACCAGCACCACAGGACAGTAGTATTTGTGCAACACCATCACAGTAGGTCTCATCACTTACAAAGCTGCTAAGTACCCGATGGATGCTTCCTGTAGACTGCATGGAACTACAGACAGGGATGAGTCACATGGAACAGGACAGCAAAATTTCTTCATTGTCTGCAAACTGGCATGTGATTTAAAACCTATAAGTTGTTTTTCTTTCTGGAATTTTCCATGTATTTTCACACCGTGTTTGACCATGGGTAACTTAAACTGTAGAAAGCAAACTCTGAGGAAGGGAGGATTGTTGTATCGGAGTTTTAGGGCATGGCTAACCCTAAACAGGCTCTGACCATGAAGTCATGCATAGTGGGAAACGCGGAACACCTAATGGGATGTGGCCTCCAGGCATTGAGTTCAGAATCTCTTACTCCCCAGCCCCTCCTTGGCTCACCACCTTGTACCTGGCTTTCAGTTTTTCCATAAAATGATCTGTGAGTTGTAGCACAGTGAGGTCTTAATGAATCCCAAATAACTAAGAGAGTAGTTCTCACGTTTTTAGTAGCTGAAAACAAATCAGTCATTAAACTTTGAGTCCTCTAAGTAGGGTGTTAAGTATAGGCTGTATCCTGGATGCACTGACAGATGAATCAGATCATGTGTACAGGTAACACACTCCATCCTCTGTGACTTTCCTTTGTGCGGATGTTGGTAGTAACCACACACGTTTAGCGGCTCTCCAGAGACTTTCCTGATTGTGCAGCATTGCACAGTAACTGATCTGAAGCTTATGGATTGTATTGAGCTTGTCTGAGTTGCATTTAGATACTCAGCCTGGTTTCAGATATGAATGAAATCTCTGAGACAGGGTAGATGCCGTGAGCATCTGCTCTGCTGCCAGGTGGGTTTCTGTCCTGGCTCTGCCTCTTTGTAGACCTGTGCCTCTGTCCCTGCCGTGTAAGAGGGCACTGAGTGTAGTATCCATCCTGAGGGATAGTCATGTAGTGAGAGTTAAGTGAACTGACCCACAGGAGTTTGCAGCAAGGGCAGGACGGTGGCACCGTGTGCAGCGTGGTACCACCACCATTCTGATGCTTGGATGTGTTGTTGCTTTGCCAGTGTCTTCACTGTCATTAATGCAAATGTCCCGTTTCTTTGTTGTCTCCCTTTCTGTAGTAGGACTTTATTTTTTATAGTTTACACAGTGTGAGTCCAGAGAGAATAACAGGACCAGTGTGGCAATAATAAAGTCATATTTGTGAGACTATGCTGAATATTTTGATCCACAAGCCATCATTATAAACATTGCCTTGTAATTGGAAAATTCTCTAAGAACAGTCTCGGTGATCATTAGAAATTTTGAAATTTGAGATATCAATTCTTTGCAGTAATGATGTTGTGATAGCAATGACAAGCATGCATATGCTTGTATATATTTATATGTATGCATGTGGTTTTTTTTCCAAGACAGGTATTTAGGTCAGCTTGGCATGGTAAAGAATGATATTGGCATTCTCCCTGTGAGGAGTTTAGAATAGTGATATTTAATGATTAAGTCATATTAATATTAAAAATAATTTTTATTAATATTAATATCCATTAACCACCAAATTAAATATCAACATTTATTAATATAAAACCCAAAATTGAAAGATTTCTGTTTTCCTGTATTTCCAGTATTTTCATCTCCCTCAAAAAAATATTTCCAGCTGTGGGATATATCATGAATAATTATTGGCTATACCCCAGCTTTGCATTGAAAGAAGTGCAGGTTTAAGGATAATTATTCAACTATTTGGGGTTACTGTGCATACAGCTTTCATTATCATTAAAAATGTACCCGAGATGATCAGCTTATAGAGAAAGATGGTTTATTTGGCTCACAATTTCAGAGTTCAGTTCATGAGCTGTTGGCCCTGTTGCTCTTGGGCCTGTGGCAGGGCAGTACATCGAGGTGGTAGTGTGTGGTGGAGCAGAACCACTTGCCCCGTGGCCAGGATGCTGAGGGTAGAAAAGAAGAGCCAAGGTCGCATGTTAAGAGCCTCTGAGGACTAGAAGACCTCCTAGGAGGCCCCCATCTTAAAGTTTCATCATCTCCCAATGGTGACAAGCTGGGGACCAGGCCTTTAACACACAGGCCGTTGGGGACATTCAGGATCCAGACTATAGCTCTGTGTCACCAACATGGGAACAGAAACTGCAGATAAATCTAACATACATCCATTGCGAAGACACTATGAATCATGGTTTTTGGTGCTGGGTTGTAAAGATCAGCAGGACGTGGTCCTCACCCTTGATGCACTTCTGTCATAGACTTACACAGAAACTCCAGGGCAGGCACATGTGGGAAGATTCTTCTTAACAGCTCAAACAAGAGGCTGCCGAAGACACTCCCTTGTCCTGATGGCTTCAGTGCCTCAGGAGCCAGGTGGCTGTGATGTTCTGATCCGGAAAAGAACACTCAGAAGAGAGCACACGTTCTAGGGCTTTGTCTGAGACCCTGTGGCAGTTTTTAGGGGTACTCTTCTCATGTCTATCCTCTGAATTCACTGGGGAGAGAGGCAGTCTCAGAAATGGCACAGGGACTTGCCAGACGGGCCAGCAGTACTTGAGGGTAGGGGGTGGCTTGAGGACCTCGTGTTTGTTGGAAGCTTGGATTCACCTTTCCCAGGGTAGCCAAGACTGGACTCCATTAGCTCAGGGGCTTCGGAGCCTGGAGAGGCTTGCTTTTCCTGGGCTGAGTCTGGGAGTGGAGCCATGTAGGCAGCGTGAGCTCCGCTGCCTCCTGAGTGCTGCTGGCTGAAAGGCTTGCCTGGTGCCAGGGCTCTGGGCATTGGGAGTATTGCCTGACCTGCCAGGCAAGAAACGTGAACCACAGTGGTGAACTGGCAGTGAATTAGCAGGCCCTTTAACTGCCATCTTTTCTTTCCATGTTTTTATAAAGCCACTGAGTAGACACCAGATTATAAATCCTGTGCAGACAGTTTCTGGATTCAACCTCGGAGAAGAGTTTGGGTTTTAAGGAATACTTAAACTCAGTGTTTGTTGGTCTTGTTTTCCAGTGGACGGTGCTGCACACTGGCTGGCTGTGAGATCTGGGCGCACCCACACAGCCCTCAGTGGGCGCCTTGTAGGCGTGTGGTTCCGACATTGCTGTCCTCTATCCTAGTTGGTTAAAGTTAATGTTCTGCACGTTGTAGTCAGTTTATGGGATGAAAATCCACCACCCTGCCATCGTGTCGAGGTCAACTTTTCCGAGAGACACATAGGTCAGTGACAAGGTTTGGGTGTGAGCTCAGTAGGGTGCTCCCTCCTGAGGGACAGGAAGATGAACCCATCACTTTTTTGAATCAGCTACATGACGGTAGATCGTGCTAAACTATCAAAATGGATAGAGTGAAGCCTTCCTCTCCTGGCATCCTCAGAGAACTCTCTGACTCAGCTGTTAACCCTTTCACTTTTGTCTTACGTTTACATTGTTATTGTTTTGCACTGTTCTTTGTCCTCCTGGAGGTCATGCATCATGCTGGGGGTTTGCTTTGAATCCGCATTGGATCAACTCTGCTTGAACCTATGTGCCTAATTTCTGTGCCTGGTGGAGCCAGCTATTAGAGGTACAATTACCCCTTCCAGCCTCCAACTGAAGCTGTTCTTTTAGGGGGGGAAAAAAAAAGTAAAAAGGTTTTTGTGTTTGTCTCTTTGAATATGTTAATTTGGGGGAAATAAATATTATTGAATGTTTATGTGTGTATATGGAATATCTCTTGATAGCCTTCTTTACCAGGTGACTATTAAAATCAGATTCGAATGATTTCAAGTGCAATCCAGAAATTGACAAACTATACCCTGTGCTACCAATTCCAGGCAACCATGCCACCCCTCTCCTCCATGAAATTGTATTGAGATGCAGCCACACTCAGTTGCTAAGTGTTGCCCCTGGCTCCTTTGACGTTACAGTGGGGGAGTTGAGTATTTAGGACGCAAGCAGTATGGCTTGCAAAGCCTTTTTACAGAAAAGACTGTATCGTGTATTCAAGGACCAATGAGTTTCTATTTGGAAAGCTTCACATGCAGGAAACTCATAATCTTACAAGCAACGTGTTACATTTGCAGATAGCTTGAATGTCAGAAATTCTTCCTTTATAGAAGCAAACAAAACCCCACTTCTTCCTAACTTGCGGATAGTTTGGGTCTTTTTATATCCTGTGAACCATAAAAAGCAAATATCTCTTCAAGGTAATTACCTCTTTGAGTATTTGAAGATAGCTATTGTATACCCTCCAAATATTTCCCTCTCCAGATTAAATATTGGTAGCTATTAGTTACCTGTTCTTTATTACAGAGTTTTTACTCTCCACTTGATAAAGTCTATTTTAACTCTTCTCAACAACATCCCCGAGAATTAACAAGTCTCCCCTTGAAGGACATGCCCTGTAGAAATCCTATCAAGACATTGGTTGACCTTTCTGGGATGCAGCTGAAGATTGTATTTTTGTCTTTAAGCACTGCTGATTTATTGGCATGACTAGCAAAACCCTTGAACTCTCTGGCCCTTTAAGCCTTGTTATCATTTCTGTTATTCTTACATTGTTACCATTCTTTCTAAAGGTTTTGAAAACATTTCTTATACAAGATTTGGGCCGTATTTCCAAACTTGGTCTTTGTATGTCATATTTCCACACTTGCTCTCTGTTTGAGGCTTTGTCGTTGAGTTGACTGTTAGGGTAACTCCAAGCTGACTTGACTCTAATCAGGTGTCTTCATAGGTGGACTAGAGATGTACCTCGGCGGTAGAGCATTGTCTAGCAATGCGTGAGCTTAGGTTCAATCCCCAGTAGAGCCAAAAAAGGGAGGGAGGGAGAGAGAAAGGGAGGGAGGGAGGGAGGGAGGAAGGAAGGAAGGAAGGAAGGAAGAAAGGAAAGAAAGAAAGAAAGGAAGAAAGAAAGAAAGAAAGAAAGTCAGTCAGTCTGTCTTCGCAGGTGCCATGAAATCTATCCAAGGAAATCTCCATAAGAGATCATCATTCCATTATTCTGTATACACAGACCCACTCCCTTTCTCTCCTGCTGTTCTGATCTTTAGCTAAAGAATGAACATAGCTTTAGTGGCTTTTCCAGAAGGGCTGGTGTAATGGGAGCTTCAGTTCAGATGTTCCCATTGTCTCCCTTGACTTGGATGAGGGTTACTATCTGGGGCCTTGACCTAATTGGCCATTCAGTATTAATTTTGCAATTTTTTTCTATATATTTGATACTTTGACATTTTGGGACTTTCCTAACCCTAAAGAGACGATCCTACAGCTAGCCAATTTTTAGCAAGTAAAGGACCATACTTCCATATACAAAATAACCAACCCAGACCCAGTTCCCCCACCACCTTCTTTATGGAATTTCATACTCAGGTCCAATATTCTCCTGCTCTAGACTCCCATAACCTGCTAATATAATTCAAATGTGCCAATGCTAAGCCCACTTACCTTGCCTCTTCTGTTCCATGTTAGTCAAATACTTGACACAGGCTGCCTCCGTAAAGAAAAGTTGATTCAGCTCCAGCTTTGGAAGCTGAGGGTCCAGACAGCATAGCATAGGCTTGGTGAGAGTTTCCCTTGTCTGAGTCACCACCTACTGGGTAGCAGTGCCAGGGGCTTCTGTGGGAGCAAGAAACACACTTGGAACCAAGAAGCAGCAGAGAGGGAGAGCCCGGCTTCTTTTACACAACCCTCCTGTGAGACCTAGCAAAATCTCTTCCCAGGGCAAGATGCCCAGTGGCCTAAGGACCTCCCATTAGGGCCCATTTCATAGGTTCCACCACTCACTTCCCTATACTCTTACCCTGGGGGCAAAGCCTCCACCACATGGATCCTTGGGGGGACACCCAAACCATTTGCAAACCTTGGCAGTTCCTTCCCATGGAAACCACAGTAAAAGCTTTTGTTCATGTTTTCTTCTGCTTCCTGGTTGACCATCATGCTTCCTGTGGTGGTGTCCATGCGAATGATGAGTAACTTCTTTTCAACAGCAGTGGTCACCTGATCTGTTGGCCTCGCTGTACCTGAATAGCAATAGCCCTGCATTTTGAAGTACTTGAGGATTGCCACATTCTGAAAAATAGCCGAGGGCAAAGAACTCAGTGCTGAGTGACCCTGGGCTATTTCCTTTGCCTGAACTGGAAAGGCATCTGGAATTGCCTTTGTGGGGCTAAAGGTGTAACTCTGTGGTCCAGCACGCTCATCTAACAGTGCAAGGCATTGGGTTAGATCTTGAGCACTGCAAAAAGAAAACAATACAAAACAAACCAAAAGGGAAACAACAGTAGTAACAACAACCACAACAACAAAGCACCCAAAACCAAAATGAATCAACAATACTTAGATGAAGGAAAGTGGTCGAAGACCCACCAACCCCTTTCGTTAGTTTGGCTCCACAAGGGCACAGTCCAACAGAATGGTGGTCCAGAAGAGGTTCTGAACTGTAATAGTCCACCATACTGAACTTTGGTACTTCCAGGGGTGAAGCCAAGCAAATGTAAATACATTTCTTGAATGTTTTGACCATTGTGAGATAACTGAAGAATTTCAGATGAGGAATCACTCAGCCTCTCCTACTGTAGTTGAGCTTCCTTACCAGTGAGGCTGGTGGTTGTGAATGGCTTTTCTTACCAGATCCTGTTGCGAAATCAGGATTAAACTTTAAAATGCATTTAAGTTACTCTTACTGGCACAAATGATAAATCACTTCAGAAGGGCACCATGCCATGTGGTCAGGCATCCTTTTTATGCCCTGTGTAGCACTGTCCTCTTCAGCCTTCTGTGCTTTGTTTATGTGACTTTAAAAACTAAAGCAGATGTGCGCAGGACCTTGACCGAGGGATGTAGTGCACCAACCACGTGTAGCTATGTTTCATTTCAATCAGAAGAGCATGACATGGTCTACAGAGAAAGATCGTTAGACTGAAAAAAAGCCTGTTTTGTGTCTAACTATACTTTTCTGAAACATTGAAAGGTAAAGACCACTCTAACTTCCTTAATAGAAATGTTGTAACAGTATCTGTGTGTGTGGAAGGGGTCAGACTTGCAGTTCTGAAAGTGAACTTAATGCCTCATGGTTTTAAATACCAGTGAAAATGTGTTTGTCAAGCAGTAGCTATAGCCTGGTGAGTTTTGTCTTTTATTTAGTTCAGCCTTGGGAGGAAAACACCCAGGAAACCTGAGTTAATATAAAAAAATGCACTCTGTAATTCTGATTCTGTAACTGGTGTGAAATACAGATATAAAATCAGAAACATTTTCAAAGTTAACGATCACAGTTTAAAATCAGTTTGAAATTTAATAAGTAATTTTAATCACCAATAGAAAATGACATAATCTGTGTTCTGGAGCCAACCAGGCCTCTTCTGAAAGGAGAGCTTCCCGGATGGGGTCAGAAGGCAACTGAAAACCCCGGAGAACAATGGCCGTTCTCTCTGATGGGAGTTGCTCCTTTTCCTTGTGGTCACAGCCCCTTCCTGTTGCTCCCGTCTTAATGGAATCTCCGTTATGAAGTTGTTGAAGAAATGAGGAAGGGGGGCGCCTACCCCTCTCTCTGCACTGGGGAGAGCCCTGCCTGTGAAAGCAGCCTTTGTGCACACTGGGCTGGGCCCGTGGCAGACAGGGCACAATCAGGCTATTGTTTATTTGGGAAAGCTATGGCATCCTATTGCAATTATTTATGGAAGAAAATATTTGATGTTTTTGGAAGAGGTTGGATTTGGGGAGATGAGGGAGGGAGAATGGCTGGGCTTTCCCTTTTGTCCCATCCATTCTGGATCACTCGGAGGTTAGGATGGAGCTGTATAGTCCACAGGAGGGAATTTTGTGGCCCTGTGTGGGAGCATTCGAGGCAGAGAAACTCAAAGCACCTCCAGTTTGGGTTCTGGGAATGATGGAGGAGGAGATGGTTTTGCTGTACTTGAGGCTGACATGGGGTGGCTGTTCACTGTTGCCTTCCAGTCCTGTACCCCTCAATGCTGACCTGGAACTCTTGCCCATGCTCTGCCACCACCTTGGCTGAAGTTGAGTCTCAATTCCTAAGTAGTGAGAATGCTGAAACGTTCAGCATCTCCTCTCTTTCTCAGTGTTCACGTCTGTTACTCAGCTTTGATCACTGCAGCAAACACCTGAGATAATCAACTTGTGGAGAGAAAAGGGTTATTTTGGCTAACAGTATTGGAAGTCCTGGAGGAGATTGGTTGGCCCTCTGGCTTGGGGGTGGCTGAGTAGGTACCCTGTGGCTTGGGCGGTGGGTGAGGCTCCACAGCATGGCAGGAGTGTGTGTCAGAGTGCAGCTGCTCACCTCATGTTCTGGGGGCTGGAAAGAACAAGGAAGTGCTGGGGTCCCACTGTCCCCTCCAAGGCACATCTTGGATGATCCAAAAACATCCAGGTCCAGGTTCTACTACCTCCCAAAAGCAACACCCTGAGAACCAAGCCTTTAACACGTGAGTCTTTGGGGAATCCAAACTTAAGACCGAAACAAAGCCAAGTGCAGTGACACATGCCTGTTATGCCACCACTCTGGGAGGCTGAGGCAAAGAACTCGCAAGTTTTGGCCCAGCCCAGGCAACTTAGCAACCTACCAACACTGTCTCAAAATAGAAAAATGCAATACTAGCTAGGCATGGTGGTACATGTCTATAATCCTAGCAGTCTGCTAGGCTAAGGCAGGAGAATTACAAGTTCCAGCCCAGCCTAGGTGACTTAGGGAGATCTTGTCTCAGAATAAACATTTAAAATAACATTGAAAAAGCCAAGGATGTGGCTCAGTGCAAAGGCCCTGAATTCAAATAAAACCCAAGGGGGTTGCAAGTTGAACCAGTGTCTGAGGTTGAATGCTCTCCATCCTCAACCGTACGTTTCTCCAAAAGGGAAAAGGGGTCCTGTTCTGCTTTCATATCACACGTTTCGTGTGCCCTTTCTGGCCTCCCCATCCCTACTTGCCCTGTCTTGTCCCGCCTGCTTCACCCCATCTCTTCTCCTTCTGCAGCTTCTGAGGCTGCTGAGGTGGCCCTAATCATAGACTCGCCCTTGTTGCCAGCATTTCCAAGATTAGAGCAGCAACTGCAACTCAGAACTGTCCCAGAAATCCCCAGGGGTAACTCCAAGAGCTGCTCAGCGCCTGACACACAGTAGACCTCAGGACTGCAGAGAGCGCTGTTTTATGAAGCATTTGTCTTCCCAGAATCATCATTCTCCCGTTGCTGTGTGTGGACGGCTTTACCTTTGGTTTTTCCCTGAACTTCACATTAGGGGCCCCTCTACCACCTCTACCCCGGATCCCCAAATGCCCTCCCTGCAGAGGCCTCCTTGCCTCCTCACGCAGCATCCCTCAGCCACACATTTCCTGACTACTTACTTTTCTTGCTCAGAGCACTTCAGAGTTGGTTTTTTTACCTGTAAATCTCATTAAGGTAATTCTCCTATTCTTTGGATCATAAACACTTCCTTGTACCTGGGTGATGTTTTTTTGGGCCTGAATTTTAGTGTGATCTTGAGCCTCCATGTCTCCAGGCGTGGAGGAAGATGAGTAACTGAGTGTCGCAGTTAATGATTCTCTCCTGTCCCACATGGTCCCCAGAGGAACCCGCGATGGGGACAACATGACAGCTTTCTCTGGGGAGGTGGAAGCAGAAGATAAATCAGCAGGCAGAGCACATTCACATAACCTTATGGCCAAGAAAGTGGCTGGAAACACACAGTTGTTTAAATCCAAGATCTGCAAAGCCAGGTCCATAACACCTAGGGGTCCTGTCCTGATCCGTGAAGGAGACAGGAAAGGTTTCTGTGTTCTCCACCAGGCAGTGGTATAGACAGTGAGCAGGTGTAATGTGCTGTTGAAGAGTAAGATGAGACACAGGGTACTGGTGTCACAGTTCAGGGGTGCAGGGTGGGCGAATGTGTGATGGGGGTGGTGCTTGGTGAGGCTGGGTAGACGTAGGGGCTGAGGGTAGTTGAGTCAGCAGTGGCAAGTTTAGGGGGAAAATGCAAGAGGAAAAAGCCTTGAGGTAGCCACAGACTGATGCCCAGCACAGTAGGGAAATTAAGTCTGTTAGCTGACGGTCTGAGGCCTCCTCCATAACAAAATGTTGCCGCCTGCATGACTTAACAGCTAACATTTATTTTCTGACAGTGCTAGAGAATGCAAGTCCAAGACCAGGGTGCCAGCAAGATCTGATTCTGGTAAATAAAGCCTTTCCCCTGGTTAGCACATAGCCAGTTGCCCATCCATTTCAACTCCTGGAAATGACAATCAGAACTATCCAGATGTTGTTGGATGTGCTTTAGGGGTGTGTGCAGCAGTATTGAATTGCTTACATGGAGAATATTTTTGTTGGTGGGAAAACTCTCTACCCCTCCAGCCCCCACGTGTGAGTGGAGTGACATTGTTTCATGTGTTTTAAAAATCGTTTCATATCTGGCTTAATTGAAGGCACCTGGATGCTAGTACCTACTTCTGCATTCTACCTGCTTCCAATACTACTCTCCGGGAAAATGCCAGTGTACACCATTGAGACTATTAGAGTTACAAAGGCAGAGAAAATTTTAGGCATGATGCAGTGTGCTTCGATACTGAAGCAGAGAGTTTCAGGTGTAGGAAACCTGGCCCGAAGGAACTTAGATTTGAAGTGGCAGAGGATGGGAAGGACAGAGAGACAAGAGACACCCACATTTATATTCATGGTGATTTCTGAGTTTCAACGCCAGCCCAGCTCCATTCCATTTCCCCTCCACAGGCAGTTCCGCCAGAGAGGGTTTATGAAGTGCTGAAATAGTTGCACAGTCTGCCACCATTCTATAAATGATAAATAATAATTAACTTGGCAAGTCTAGGCAGAGCAAATCAGTGAGATTACAAGAAAGGAGACGTTAAGGTTTCAGAAAGAAGGAAAATCACCTTTGTCTCTGCAGGTCCTAAAACACATGAGCCACCTTC